TTCTTACTTATTTTTACTACCTATTCGCTGGTAAGCTAAGGGGCTATTAGAGGAACGCGCGGCCAGTGATTTCTTCCTAATGTGAAACAAAATACATCTCAAAATTACAGTTTTTGATTACAGTTTTTTTTTACTTGTACATTGAGCTAAGTTATAAGAGAAAGTTAATCAGTCGATCACTGGCGGAGTGATCTTTGGTGTGATTTTTTGTTTAAAAGCCCTATGTGTGCTGATAGCGTTCGTTTCTTTCCACATTGCGAGAACTATGCAGTTCATCGTAGCGGTAAATGGATGCTAACATCACGATGAGTTGGGCGGTTAGAAGTTTAATGACCCGGTTGAATACGCTGTCGGACCCGGGTGCCTTGCGAAGCCGCAAATCCTTAATCATGTCCTTTACTTCTATCGACCCAATGAGGCAGCAAAATATTATAGATGTCTGGACTTTAAATAATCGCTGGGTACAAACTTTTAAAAGCTTCCTAGATTGAACATCACAAAGCGTCACAGCGTCACAAACCTCAGTAAAGTTACTTACTATCGGGTCGTCGCGTCTCCTTACAGTGGCGCGTGACGGGCCTCGGGGAAACCGCTCTGCCCGGGCTTGTAACTCCTTGCCTATTGAAGCAGGGGTGATGAGCTGCAGGATTAGGTTGATTAGGTCTGAGCTGATGGTGAGTGGGATTCTTCTTCCTCCCTCTTGTAAAGTAACTTTACTGAGGCTGCGACGTTTTGTGACGTCTGTAGGTTATTCAATCGAAGAAGCTTTTATATAATACTAGCTGACCCGGCAAACGTTGTGTTGCCTTAAATAAGATTTCTAGGGAAATTCTAGTGTAGAAAAAAAACCTCATTAAACCACATAATACCTCATTATAACCAAAAAAAATATATCCAAAAAATAAAAATCAAAAATAAATGTTTGGGGTGGACAACCCTTATCACTTAGGGGTATGAAAAATAGATAGTAGCCGATTCTCAGACCTACTGAACATACTATTGATAGACAAATAAAACCAAAAAAACATGGCCGGCAAGCTACGATTGATACACAAATAAAACCAAAAAACCATGGCTGAAAAATGTATAGTAAGTAAGACAGTAGACCGGCTTCGTCCTCATCCCTACTACGTGATGTTTGCTTGATGAGTGGTGATACCTGGCGGGGATAACTGATCGATTGATAGTTGATCAGTAGTCGACCGGCGAGGGCGGGAGATCAAATTGAATTAAAAAAAATCATAATTAAAGGAACTTGAAATTATAAACTCTGAATAAGAATTTATCGTACTACAATTATAATATTTGATTGCCATCTTACAAGCTTATTGCGGTTCTGTGCATAGAATAAAAAAAATTAAAAATCGGGATGGAAAAACAGGGGTTGGTCGTATAAGAGTGAAAATTGAGAGTAATATGATTTTTTTTATTTTAAGACATGACAAAATAGATAAAAAAATCTTGCCAAAAAAATTTAAGTTTATAATTAACAAATAAAAAATAGAGGTTGATCGTAGAGGGGTGAAAAATTCAGAGTAATATGATTTTTTTTATTCTAAGTCATGACAAAATAAAAACAAAATTCTTGCAAAAAAAATTAAGCTTTTTACTTAACAAATAAAAAAAAGGGTTGATCGTAGAGGGGTGAAAATTTTGGGTTGTATGTATTTTTGTATGTTGTATCATAAAAAAATAAAAACAATTTTTTTGTCTAACAGTAAAAAATAAAATTTAGGGGTGGACTACCCTTAACGTTTAGGGGGATGAAAAATAGATGTTGTCCGATTCTCTACCCTGGCCAATATGCACGCTAATAAGATTCACGAAAATCGGTCGAGCCATTTCGAAGGAGTTCAATCACGCACACCGTGACACGAGAATTTTATATATTAGATAAAATAAAACATTATGTAAATATAATACATAAATGATGCTACGAAAAAATATTCTATCAGTGATAATAGGCTTATTGAGCACTTAATACTTAAGTGATAACTAAATGTATGACAATTAGATATACGGATGGATTTTATCATAATATATCATATGTCCACCTAATCACATCATGAAATGAGGCTAATTGTGAGTATACATGAGCGATGCTAAGTCTTATTATCGATAAAAGCATTAATACCAAAACCTAACCATTAGTATAACCACAATCCAAGCATTACTACCGGAACCAAACTAAAAATAAACTTGCACGCCAATCTAAAGTCTGTCAATGTGCCAACGAAGGTGTGCCACTATTTATGCCGCGATTAAGATACCCCGCCGCTAGGAGGGGCTATACCAAGTTCCTGCCTCTGTAGAAGGCCCCTCTCTCGATGGCAGCTTGGAGCGGCAGGAAACGCTGACTTTACGCGGTGCTATTCCAGGATTGTTGTTTGCCGCAGAGCGGACATCACTACAGAGCGACCGGTTAGTGATGTTTCGCGTTTTGGTCCGGCAACCTGATTCCGGCCCAGTAGGATATCCCGGTTCACAGTTTGGGTGACCAAAATGACCGACGTAAAAAATACAAAAAAATAATTAAATAATATATACAAGATTAGACCGTAAAAGTACTAGAGTTAATATTCAGAGCTCTAAATTGCGAAAATCTCGGTATCAATGTAGACGGTGTCTCATTGATTCACTTGAGATTCGCAGATGATATATTAGCAAAATCCCCGGAAGACATAACAAGAATGATAAACGACCTATCAATGGAAAGCAAGACGGTAGGGCTAAAACTGAACCCGGAAAAAACAAAAGCAATGACAAACGGAGAGAGAATTCCCATAAACTTAGGAAACAACCAAATTTATTAAACTGATGAATATATTCACCTGGAACAGCTAATAGCAGATGATAATACGATGCGCAAAGAAGTTCAAAGAAGAACAACTAATGGCTGGAGAAGGTACTGGGGCTTGAAAGAGATTATGAAAGATAAGAATCTTCATACGAACATAAAAAGCAAACTTTTTAACATTTGCATACTACCAATTCTGTAAAACTTAATAAAAGATGCACAATTTTAAAGCGACCCGTGGAATCGGCGTGCACTGCATTGTAGTAATTCTAACGGCCCGCGCTTGTGTATGCACTGCATGTTAACATATTTTGTCCCCGCTTGTATAAAAACGCGTGCTACCGCTGTACCCAATCATTCAGAAGCCGCTCTAAGCAGTTGTAGTAAAGGTTGGGTCAACACAGAGCATAGTTAGCTATGTACGAATTGTAACCATTCAAGTTAATTATGTACGGCAGCAAAACATGGGCCTTATCACAAAACACGATTAGAAAAGTCACATTGTGCCAACGTGCAATGGAGAGGAGTATGATAAATGTGAAAAAGTCAGACTGACTGAGTAACCGTGTAATAAGAAGCAAAACAAAGGTTATAGACATAGCATGCAAAATTAGAAGGCTTAAATGGTGTTGGGCAGGGCTTGTGGTTAGAGAAAATGACAAATGGAGCAAAGTTGTCACACGATGGTATCCTAGTGAAAGGAAAAGAGATAGACCGCAAAAAATATGAGATGACGACAAGTTGCAGGCGTCACACGGAACAGAGTGGCTTAAGAAAGACACGAGTGGGAAAGGTTCGGGGCATTTGTCGATAGGCAAACAGATCTCCAGAACATAAGTAATATTTGATATGTAATAATTGAATACTATATACTATAATAATACTAAAATAACAAGATTAACTAATATTACGTTAGATTAGTGGAAGAAGAGTAATTACATACAGTCGTATTAAAATGCGGAATACAAAAAAACACTCAATAACATTGACACACAAAACGCACTGCCTTTCATAGCCAATTATGATCCTATCCGGGCTGAAGTAACCTCCTCTATGGTCTTTCCAGAGCCTTATGATCTTGCCATCTTGTTGATCTAGCCATCAGTGATTTTGACTATCACCATCATGAGGTGAAGCTTTGGCTCGGAATCAGAAGTTTTTCATAGAATATTTGGTCTGGATGCTAACTATTGTTTCGTATTTATGTTTCTCTGGCCCACAACGTAGTAGAGAATCTTAGCGTAGAGCCACTCAATGGATAACGTTTGTCTTTTGTTAAACCCTCCACTAATTTATATTTAGCCGTCAGATATAAATAATTAAACTGTAGCCTATAAATACAAGAGAAACATGTTTCGTCCTTATGTGATAAGGACTAGAAGAAGATTATGGGTCAATAAACAAAACAAACTGTAGTATTCACCATAATAAAATCGTTGCAAACTTATATTATTATTAAACAGTATTGAAACGGTATTTCACGCCTGGGCAGAGGCTTGCGCTTTATAAAGCGTAGGTCCGGCCTCGCGTGGAGTACTGCTCTCACATCTCTGGGTCGGGGCTCCCAAATACCAGCTACTTCCATTTGACTCCATACAGAAACGGGCTGTTCGGATAGTCGATAGTCCTGCTCTCGCGGATCGCTTGGAACCTCTGGGTCTGCGGAGGGACTTCGGGTCTCTCTGTGTTTTATACCGTATGGTTCATGGGGAATGCTCTGAGGAATTAATTATTCGAGATGATCCCCTCATCTCCTTTTTATCTGCGCACCTCCCGCCATCTGAGCAAAGTTCAGAGACAGTGCGTTTCCAAAGATCTTTTTTGCCACGTACCATCCGGCTTTGGAATGAACTCCCCTCCACGGTGTTTTCTGAGCGCTATGACATGTCCTTCTTCAAACGAGGCTTACGGAGAGTATTTAATGGTAGGCAGCGGCTTGTCTTTGCCCCTGGCATTGCTGATGTCCATGAGCGACGGTGACCACTTGCCATCAGGTGGGCCGTATGCTCGTCTGCCTACAAAGGCAATAAAAAAAAACATAAAATTACCTATTAATCAAAATAATTACGGTATTAAGCTAAGAAATCTTGTATTTTTCACTAGAGATTTTTATCAATAGCATTTTATCAATACTTACCAATATCGGGTTATATAAAAATACATGTAAATTATTTTTCGTTTCAAAAACAATTAACATAATACCATGAATTCACTTATTCTGCTTTGTGTTTTCGCTTTTGCGTATGCAAAACACGAGATGTATATTGGGTGAGTTTAAATTCTATTTTACCTATACTCACAAAAAACAACAAACAGGTAACTTAGTATATATTCTAAAACTATAATTGTAAATATTATATTTATCTTATACCTTTAAACGAGCAATTCTTCCGATATTCACATAATATATATATAGGTATAAATACGGAAACGGCTGCAACGATTTTCTAAAAATTTATTATACAGGGGATTTCGGGGGCGATAAATCGATCTAGCTACGATTTATTTTCAGAAAATGTTGTTTTATTCGTGTTTTCAATAATCAACTCTTCCTGGCATCTATTGGCGAATAATAATACTATTTTTCTTAATTGAGGGCAACTAACCGCTTTAAAGACGTCATTATTCTTATAATCATGAGTCAAACACATTTTGTTGCTATTGATTTCTTTGTATTGCAAACGCATTCGAAGTTTTCATAAGCTTGGAAGTCATTTCTGAGAAATCCGGGCAGCTTCAGAATTTTTTTTTGGTGGAAAAGCGCATTGTAAGTTCACACATATGGTAGTAATAACAACCTAGTTCCTCATCTCACAAAGCTATTTACCGTCGTTTCTCATTTCCCTTACGATGCTCACCTTTAGCTGATCAGTCACGCCAGAAAATCTAAATTTTTTTTTTTTTTTATTGCTTGGATGGGTGGACGAGCTCACAGCCCACCTGGTGTTAAATGGTTACTGGAGCCCATAGACATCTACAAAATAAATGCGCCACCCACCTTGAGATATAAGTTCTAAGGTCTCAATTAATAGTTACAACGGCTGCCCCACCCTTCAAACCGAAACGCTGCTGCTTCACGGCAGAAATAGGCGGGGCGGTGGTACCTACCCGCGCGGTCTCACAAGAGGTCCTACCACCAGTAAAGTCAAATATCCGAAATATTTATTTTATAATTTATACTAAAATAAAAGTAGTATTAATGTGTAATTTATTCATCACAATTAACTTGATAACAAAACAATTGTTCTTTCATCATCATGATTAGTATAGTGATGTTTGCCTTAAAAAATAAGTAAATGGTTTGAGTGTGTGGTGACTTCGAATAGAATCATAAAGACATATCACTTGCCGTGGGCATTCTTTTACATGACTAAAACGGCTAGACGAGCTCACATCCCACCTGGTGTTAAGTAGTTACCGAAGCCCATAGATATCTACAACGTAAAAGCCGCCACCTACCTTGAGATATAAGTTCTAAGGTCTCAGTATGGTTACAACGGCTGCCCCACCCTTCAAACCGAAACACATTACTGCTTCACGGCAGAAAATAGGCAGGGCGGTGGTACCCACCCATGCGGACTCACAAGAGGTCCTACCACTAGTTCTAAGGTCTCCGTTTTTACAGTACAACAGCCCAACCATTCAAGTCGCAACGCATTATTACTGCTTCACGGTTGAATGATTAGGGTGATGGTACCTACCCGTGCGGGCACACAAGACGCCGAGCCACCGGTATCAAGTCATAATATTTAACTATCCGATCCGGTGATCCGGTATGTGGGAGTTGAACCTCACCAAAAATTCCTGCCGCTCACAGCCAGAACCCCACCCCGGACCGGGCCGGAGCCCAGTCGTCGCCATTAATACGAGTGGACAGGGTTGACGAACAGTATATTACATCCATTACGCCGTCCCCCAAAAACCGGACCGGCGGCCGCCAGCGACACGGTCACCAGTTCCCTCGGTCTACGGGCCGGGAAACTGCCTTGATGGCGCCGCGCTACAGCTTCCCCCGGAGCGTTCGAGGGAACACAGCCTACCATCACTCGGCTTCCTATCATGGGCGAGCGTGCCGCGCACGCTGCCCCACGCCTGATCCCTCCCCGCACAAAGGGGTAGAGCCCGAAGCTCTTAGGGGCCGGGTCACGAATGGAACCCTAGTCCCGACCCTGGAAGCCAGGAAAGCTTTGCCTCACTCGCCCCGCCGCCTCCTTCCGCGAGATAGTGCACTCGCAGAAGTCGAGCATAGCCTTCGAGGACTCGTCGCCGCCAAGCATCAACGCCACGACGCCAGGCAGCGAAAAGTCCGGTCCTACCTTTGCGATCAGGACACGGCGCTGCTCCTCCCAAGTGGGGCAGACAGCGAGCGTATGCTCCTCAATGTCTAAGTCGTATCCGTAATGGTGACACCTCATCGTTGGCTCAGCTTCTATTCTTTTTTTTTTATTGTTTAGATGGGTGGACGAGCTCACAGCCCATCTGATGCTATGTGGTTAGTGGAGCCTTGAGTACGTATTTCATTAGAAAAATTGGTACCCGCCTGGGATTCGAACACCGGTGCATCGCTCAACACGAATGCACCGGACGTCTTATCCTTTAGGCCACGACGACTTCGTAAAGGTGAAGGTACATCCATGCCCGGTCAGCACCTTTATCAGATAAGATATTAAATGGGCAGATAAGGGGGTAAATCAAAAATATTTTAAATAATTTAATTATCACATTAACTATGTACTAATCCTTCCATTATTTGTTTCATAAAATTCTTTGTTGATCGTGGTGTTGATTGATACAAAATTTCACATGAAACAAAAAAAAAGTGTTTTGCTATTCCATATGTATTTATTATTATATTCTTGGTATTCACGATAGTGTTATCTATCTATATATATAAAAATGAATTGCTGTTCGTTAGTCTCTCTAAAGCTCGAGAGCGGCTGGACCTATTTGGCTAATTTTGGTCTTGAATTATTTGTGGAAGTCCAGAAAAGGTTTAAAAGGTAGATATGAATGAAATATGAATGAAAATGTTAATGCTCGGAATTAAATAAAAATAAACAATTTTGTTTTCCCTTTGATGTGTCTCCCATCGGACGGATTCCTTTTGTCTTTTATTTATCGATTGAGGCACTACGAAGTCTGACGGGTCAGCTAGTATTAAATAAATTTCACAAATCGTCCTACGTATCTTCATTTAGTATTAAAATTAACGTTTAAACGCTATTGCAAAGCCGCAATAGAGCTTATGACAAACCGCATCAGTGCAATAACACGGAACCGGGCAGTTGCTGTTTTAAATTTCAGCGCGAACTGTGTACTAAATTCGACTGGACCCAAGTTGATAACATTTTTTACTGGTGGTAGGACCTCTTGTGAGTCCGCGTGGGTAGGTACCAGCACCCTGCCTATTTCTGCCGTGAAGCAGTATGCGTTTCGGTTTGAAGGGTGGGGCAGCCGTTGTAACTATACTTGAGACCTTGGAACTTATATCTCAAGGTGGGTGGCGCATTTACGTCGTAGATGTCTATGAGCTCCAGTAACCACTTAACACCAGGTGGGCTGTGAGCTCGTCCACCCAACTAAGCAATAAATAAAAAAAGGGATACTTACAACGGCTGCCCCACCCTTCAAACCGGAACGCATACTGCTTCACGGCACAAATAGGTAGGGTGGTGGTACCTACCCGTGCGGACTCACAAGAGGTCCTACCATCAGTAATTACGCAAATTAAAATTTTTGCGGGTTTCATTTTTATTACACGATGTTATTCCTTCACCGTGGAAATCAATCGTGAACATTTGTTGAGTACGTATTTCATTAAAAAAATTGGTACCCGCCTGAGATTCGAACACCGGTGCATCGCTCAACACGAATGCACCGGACGTCTTATCACTTAGGCCACGACGACTTCAATCTGCGTTATCTGCTTAACAAACAAACAGAAACGTATTTTTTTTTAAGTACCGTATTAAATGTAAACATTTATAATGAATTAATCACTTTCAGAAACATAATTGATTGCTGATATTGTTAATCAAACAAGATTATGAATAAAATTATCACATTTCGATCGAAATCTAATTTCAACGTACTCGTATGATACCTAAAGTGCCAACGATCAACAAATAAGTCCTTAAAATCGAACGTACTGTTTGTTATCAACTATATCCGTGTACGTAACACGAATTTACATGTGTACACTCATGACAAATGGTATTATTAGTTTGAGAATATAAGCCATTCATGTATTCAACGACAATTACGTCATATAAATATTTTTTATTGCTTAGATGGGTGGATGAACTCACAGCCCACCTGGTGTTAAGTGGTTCCAGGATCCCACAGACATCTACGACGTAAATGCGCCACCCACCTTGAGATATAAGTTCTAAGGTCTCAAGTATAGTTACAACGGCTGCCCCGCCCTTCAAACCGAAACGCATTACTGCTTCACGGCCGAAATAGGCAGGGTGGTGGTACCTACCCATGCAGACACACAAGAGGTCCTACCACCAGTAATTTTGACTCCGCTGCGTCGTAGATTTCATATGATATATGATAGTATTTTAAAGTAAAAATTAAATAGTGAAAACTCCTCCTCCGTTTGTTATATTCCTCAGTGCTGAGGGTCGGGACCAGTACGGAACATTTTTATTTGGACTATGTCCCTCCATTCTTTTCAATCCTCTGCACAGTAGATAGCGACATTGATCCTGGAGTCCAATGTCGTCTTAATTTGATCGGATCTGCGCATGGGACTACGCCCTCTTGTCCTCTTTCCTTCCACTTTGCCGGTGAAGTGAAAGGCTACCTTTCGAGATTGACACCCTTCTTTCTCCCAACTGGATCGACAAACCCGAAAATCCTACGTAGGCTTATTACAGCTTAATTAAGCGTCACAACACTATCTCCCACATTTCGAACACTTTAAAGTTTTCCTGGTCACGACGACTAGGGCGTACTGATTAAGGGCACCTTGGTCGCGACTCGTAACCGTGAAACCTTAGACTAAACTGCAAAAGCATTTATAATAACCTTTAGAACATATGAAACCCAAAGGAAACACTAAATTCTAATTGTTTTCTCATTAGAGCCTCTCCCAAACGTTTTTTTTTTATTGCTTAGAGGGTGGACGAGCTCACAGCCCACCTGGTGTTAAGTCGTTACTGGAGCCCATAGACATTTACAGCGCAAATACGCCACCCACCTTGAGATATAAGTTCTAAGGTCTCAGTATAGTTACATATCCTTCTCTATATCTATCATCTTTCAACCTATCATTTTTTTTTTATTGCTTAGATTGGTGGACGAGCTCACAGCCCACCTGGTGTTAAGTGGTTACTGGAGCCCATAGACATCCACAACGTAAATGCGCCACCCACTTTGAGATATAAGTTCTAAGGTCTCAAGTATAGTTACAACGGCTGCCCCACCCTTCAAACCGAAACGAATTACTGCTTCACGGCAGAAATAGGCAGGGTGGTGGTACCCACCCGCGCGGACTCTCAAGAGGTCCTACCACCAGTAAAATCTACATCCTTCCTAAAAATCCTTACTTATTGTGACGAATGAATCATTTATTCATCCTTTCCAGATATAAATCGTACTACATATCACCTTCACACGAGAATCAGTTCCAAGCACTCGCTTCCTTGGAGAATGAGTATCAGATTGATGTTTTGACCCGGCCGATATTCGGAAGGGACGGACTGGTTCTGGTTAAGCCGGAGTACCGGGAGAGCTTCTTAGATGCTCTCGATAAATACGGCATCAAGTACAGAATACATGTTGACGATGTGAAAGCGTAAGTTACATTTAAATCCTGTGAGTCTTTATATCTAAGGATCGGAATAAACCTTTAGGAGCCGAGATATTAAATTATACGTTCTCACAAACTAAACGTTTTTTACTGGTGGTAGGACCTCTTGTGAGTCCGCGTGGTTGGGTACCACCACCCTGCCTATTTCTGCCGTGAAGCAGTAATGCGCTTCGGTTTGAAGGGTGGGGCAGCCGTTGTAACTATACTTGAGACCTTAGAACTTATATCTCAAGGTGGGTGGCGCATTTACGCTGTGGATGTCTATGGGCTCCAGTAACCACTTAACACCAGGTGGGCTGTGAGCTCGTCTACCCATCTAAGCAATAAAAAAAAACAACCTATTTCATTTGTTTGAAAGATCGGTGATCGCTTCCACGACTCAGCTGGTGTAAAGTACGAAGTGAATAGTCATCAACAACTTATATACTGCCATCTAACTTGAGATTAGAGTTCTGAGTCTCAGTTTTATAGTAACATTACTAACCCCCACCTTTCAAACCGGAATTATGTTGTAATTAGTGTAATATGAGCCTTCAACAAAAGACCCTAAGGGTCGAAATCTCGAGCAATCGTTCGCCCAGCTCTTAAATTCTACGATAAGATAAGCACCAGCATATCTTTTTTTCGAAGGGGTTCTTTTTTTTATTGCTTAGATGGGTGGACGAGCTCACAGCCCACTTGGTGTTAAAGGGTTACTGGAGCGCATAGACACCTACAACGTAAATGCGCCACCCACCTTGAGATATAAGTTCTAAGGTCTCAGTATAGTTACAACGGCTACCCTGCCCCTCAAACCGAAACGCATTACTGCTTCACGGCAGAAACAGACGATGTAGTGGTACCAACCCGTGCGGACTCACAAGAGGTCCTACCACCAGTAAAAAGCGAGATAGGTATATATATTTGGGTTTTAAACAGAGGTTCACTTGGTGATTTCTAAGAGTTCTGTTACCGGCTAACTATAGATGAGTCTACAGCAAAACAAAGGAACAGTGAAGTCCGTCCAGGTCAGGTTTTAAATATCATCATACCTTTTTTTTTTTTTTTTTTTTTCCCTACCTATGCTGATAGCCTTGAGAGGCTATTTCAGCTTCGCCCTAACGTTAGTAGGTGAGCTCGCGGGGCTCAACCGGAGAGTTGCTAACACTGACCCTAGCAAGAGCCGTGCTTCGCAGAATCTACCACCGGATCGGAAACGCGACCCACTGAGAAGATCCGGCGAGAAACTCAGTGGGCTGTGTCTATGAGTTAGTTCGCTCGTCGAGCCCTTCGTCGCAAGCGACGGGTTCGACGAGGACGGTGACCGGTGCTTGTGGTGCCTAAAAGCACCGTTAATGGATCAGGAGGATCCGTAATGACGTGCTTTGGGCGACGTCGACGGTTTACCATTCGGTCTACTGGGTCGGGTATGTAATTTCCAGCGGCTACGATGAGAGGGTTCTCATGTCGTGCCGCCTTCTCAAAATGGCGCAGCGATGCCGACTGTAGATACTTACTAAGAGAGTCGAGCTCCAGGTCATCGTGGAGATCCACATTCCTAAGGAACCATGGCGCTCCGACGGCTATCCTGCAGAATCGTGATTGAATAACCTGAAGGGATTTCAAGTG